CTAAACGAAGAAGTAGTGTGTGTGTGTGTGTGTGTGTGTGTGTGTGTGTGGCTATATTCCATTAAATATAGCAGCTGACTTACATAATTTCTGAAACCATTTAATTTCCACTTTAAAAAGATTGCTGGCTATGAACAAAATGGAAGCAGAGCTTCACAGCTGAGTGAGATAGAATGACCATAGAGTTGAAATTCCGCGGGATGGTCTCATAAAGGGCTGCAGATCAACAACCACATGTTCCTTGTAGTGTATGGCCCCAGAAAGTCACAGGTGAGGCTGCCCCTAAACAGAGAAGCTAAAGCGCAGCTTGTCTGCAGAACTTTTTATTGGTTCATGTTGGCAGGTATCTGCTTATGTGGGCCACCTGTCTGCTGAACATTCCTCCTAATTCAGTAAGGGAAGTCTGTCTAGCAGCTCTGATCCTCTGGATCGTTGGCCAGTTTTACATCTCATTTTGGTCAACGTTTCCAGTTCTGAATTGGACACTCTGTCAACATCTTCCTGTTGAATGTTCAGTTGTAACTTTGAGTGCAGATAGTCCTTAAGGAGTTTGCAGATGGTCAGCCTCAGAGCCCCCTACTAGTGTTGATACTGCACCATGCTCCGTGGAATCCACTCGAGTTTAGGAATGGATTATACTGTATAGAACTGTAGAAGGAGGAGCGTACAGTTCTGTGAACGGAGAAAGTAGGAGGGAAGTGTCGTCTTCATTCAGGATTCGTCTGCTCAGTCAGTGGAATCTCCCCAGCCAGGCACCCTTTCAGAAGTGCATTTTGGGTCCCTTCCCACAATCCTCCTTTGAGGGGGAAAACTTCATTGATTTCTGAGAATGGGAGCGTGGGATGTGAGTTCTGAATGTCAGTGTCAAAGTTCATATTTCTACTAATATGCTTCACTTTGTTGTGAGCAGTGTTTTTAATTGTTTGCATTTTCTCAGTCTGCTTTTGTAAAGCTTCATGAGATCGGTTTTATTTGCTAGAAAATATAATTTATTTTATCATCTTTTGTTTTGAGAATAAGTAGTTGATCGCCTCTTTAAAGAGCTGGTGTCTCGTTTTATTAGTGAACTTTTGTATAGTGATTTTTTTTTTAATTGTGACATTAAACTCATTTTATTTAAATCTGACCTAAATTAAATACTTTTTTTTTTTTTTTTTTGTCTGATTTTTTTTTTTTTAATTTAAACTCATTAACTCATGTGTTCTCTATTATAGACCTATTTTGTTTGGAATTATACCATAAAAATGGTCAAAAACTTTAGTTACTGTCTTGTGTAATATTTGCTGCCTGCTTCATCCTCCGTTCATTAATAAATAGAACTTTGCCTGGGAGACTCATTGCCAGCTACAGAATTTTTCAAACTAGCAAGTAAATGTGGAAACCCAAAAAATGAGTTAGTTAAAATTATGATACCTATAACTAGTACACCTTGTAAAATATGTGAAATTCTAGTCAGTCATTGCAGCACTGTCTGTATTAGGGTGACCAGACAGCAAATGTGAAAAATTGGGATGAGGGTGGGGGGGTAATAGGAACCTATATAAGAAAAAGACCCCAAAATCGGGACTGTCCCTATAAAATCAGGACATATGGTCACCCTAGACTGTGTTAACACTTTGCTGAGAAACTGGGTGAGAGAGCTTGGTGGATTTTGTTTTAATGAGAGATCAGGTTTGTAGAATGGGAGAGAGAACTAGGGAGGTTTTGTTATGTTGGTCAAGGTGTCTTTATGTCCTCACAGCTTGGGGGAGGTAAGGAGTTGGTGACATACTTATGGATGAGACTCAGTTGTTTCAGTTAATAAAAACTATGGAGGATTTTTGAGGAACTCCAGATGCGCTCAGACTGCTTCAGGGATTGGTGACCATAGTGGCAGGAGAAATTAAGCTTGAATAAAAACGTGGTAATAGCCATTATGAATCAGGGAAGAGAAGTACTGCTGACTCTGAACTTGAAGGCTTCTCTGAAAATAAGGACTTGGGAGCCCTGGTGGGTGTACTAGTGAAGACCTGCCCAAGGCTCAGCAGCTATTTGTGCTTGAGTGCATTTGAAAAAAGGACCATGAAATACGAGGAAGAAAATATATATCCATGGTTCACATTTATGTGGAGTATTGTGCAGCATTGGCTGCCTCCTCTGGAAAGATTGAAAAAGGTAATGAAGATGGTTAGAGGTATTGAGCAGGGTTGTGACGCGAGACTGCAAAGACTAGAATTATTTAGCCTGGAAAGAACAATTTTACAAGGAGGGGACTTAGTTGAGGGTGTTCAAAATTCTAAGACTTAGTGAAATTAAAGGGAGCACATTTACAATGAAAAAAAATTAATACCACTTTATGCAGCTCAGTGTTTGCAATTCATTGCTGCTGGTAGGCCTGGCTCTGTGGCCAGTATCACTGGTACTATGTAAACTAAGAATCATAACCTTTAAACTGACTGCTTGCCGGCATCGAGAAGGGATTTGTCCCCATGCAGCCTTGCATGACAGTGTGTGGAGGGTTGTCACTCTTCCTCTGAAGCATTGGTATTGGCTGCTGCCAGGGTCTGATATATGACAACTTCTCTGTATCTACTTAGTATTTGTACTGTAAGTGCTTGGCTTATAATAAGTCAAGTAGAGAACTATAAATTGTCCCAAATGTAGCATTTAGACTTAAGTGATGTGGTGGTGTTTTTGTTGTTGTTTGGTCTGCCCGATCTTCCACACAGTGTTACCTCTTGGTGCCTCGCTCAGCTGGCAAACAGTACCCCGGACGCTGTCACACAGTGAATCCATGGTACCGCTGGGATAAGAACCCAGGAGCTTCCAGGCCTGGGTTCCAGCTGAGAGCACAGCCTCCCAGTATTTTTTTAAATGAAAAGTTAAAAAAATAAATTAATCTCCTAAATGTGATAAAACACCAATAATCCTCATACTATCTGAATGTGTAATTCAGTGAAACGTTACATGCAAACGTATATGAACTGTATAAAGAAATTGCAGTGCAAAAGGCCTGGCTGGACCCCAAGTGGGGAAAGGTTATGTGGAAAAGAGCGATTAATCTGACAGGTGACAGCCTTCTTTAAAAGAGGAACCATCACACGAAATAAACTCCCAACCTGACTGTATTCTGTCACCGCCTGCCCAACGGTGGCCTGTGAATTGGTTTTAAATTGTAGCCTAAGTGTTTTTAATCTTTCTAACCATGCATTTTTGTGCTACAGCATTGAGCTCCGTTAAGAGTTAGTTGTGTTAAAAACCAACGGTCCGGGGACAACAGAAGGGAGAGTAACAGGCACGTTTGTGTATTTTCATATATGGAGTTCAGTTTTAGGAATCATTCTGCAACAAGGATGTTGTAGCTGAATTCACAATAGCTCTAAATCCATTTGTGTTTCTCGAATGGGCTTCCATAGAGCAGCTTCCCTCCAAGCGCCTTAGACCGTTTCACTTCTGGTTTGTAGAAAGCCGGTTTACAGTAAAATATGGGGGGGGGGGGGCGGGGGGGGTGATAGGGCTTCATTCAATTTAGCTTATTCTAGGTTTCGTTATATTTTCAAAACTTTATTGAAAAGCTTGCATAAAATGCCCCAATTGCTCATTGTTATATATTGTAGAGTGTTACATTGCATTTACCAGAAATCCTACCTAATATTTTGCAGTGAAGAAATGTCCTTTTTCCTTTCAAAACTAGTATTTGCAGCTTGACATAAATATCTGTCTTATCGGTGTAAAAATAAACAGCAGTTTCACTGCAGCTCCACAGCAGAAACAAAGCAATATTCAAAATAATTAAACCCACAGGATACTCTTGGGCTGTGTTGTTAATCCCTCACCCTATTGAAACATGGAGACTACCTCTATTTAAAGAAATATTTTAAAACAAAATGAAAGGCAAGGTGTCT